CTCATAGAGGGTAAAGGAGCCCAGGAAGGCAGCAAAATCCAAGTGTGGAGGTTAATGTCTTTTGAGGGGACCAGAATGTAGAATTATCTTAATTAAGCACAATGAGATGTATCACAGATGTAGGAACAGGACAGCTGAGTCAGGCCCTGTGACAAATTGAAAACAATATACACCCACTTCTCTCCACCTCTTTTGAGTGGCTGAGAATACGTTTGTCTGCTTTGTGCAAAAAGCACTGCCACGAAAGCAGAGAGGTCCCAATATATTTGTATGCCCCTGTTCATAGCATTATTCACAATAGCCAAAATGTGCATCAAGAGATGACTGGATAAACAAAATGTGGTATATACAAAGGTACTTCAACAAGTTCACAGAAAAATCGGCTTAGAAGATAATAGAAGTCTTCCATGAACTTTTTGAAGATCCCTTTTTATATAATGAATAGTATTCAGCCTTAGTAGGGAATGAAATTCTGATACATGCTACAACATGGATGAAACTTGAGGACATTATGCTAAGTGAAATAAGGCAAGTCACAGCAGGACATACTAGATAATTCTGCTTATAAAAGGTACCAAGAGTATTCAAATTCATAGAGACAGCAAGATCGGTGGTTTCCAGGGGCTGGGAGAAGGGGGAATGGGGAATTAATAATGGGTTCAAAGTTTCAGTTTTGCAAGATGAATACAGTTCTGGAGATTGGTTGAACACCACTGTGATTGAGCTTACTACTGAACTCTACACTTAAGAATGGTCAAGATAGTATGTTTTATATGTATTTTACCATTATTAAAAATAAGAAGGCCGGCCCGTGGCTCACTCGGTAGAGTGAGGTGCTGATAACACCAAGGCCACGGGTTCGGATCCTATATAGGGATGGCCGGTTAGCTCACTGGCTGAGCGTGGTGCTGACAACACCAGGCCAAGGGTTGAGATCCCCTTACCGGTCATCCTTAAAAAAAAAAAGAAATAAAATATAAAATAATTCTGCCAAAACTATACCTCGTTCTTTCTCCACAGGCCTCGGAAAACCATGGCAGCTGCTAAGGGAATGGCCATAGGCATCGACCTGGGCACCACCTACTCATGTGTGGGGGTGTTCCAGCACGGCAAGGTGGAGATCATAGCCAACGACCAGGGCAACCGCACCACCCCCAGCTACGTGGCCTTCACAGACACTGAGCGGCTCATTGGGGATGCAGCCAAGAACCAGGTAGCCATGAATCCCCAGAACACTGTCTTTGATGCCAAACGTCTGATTGGCAGGAAATTTAATGATCCTGTAGTGCAAGCAGATATGAAACTTTGGCCTTTTCAAGTGATCAGTGAAGGAGGCAAGCCCAAAGTATTCGTGTCGTACAAAGGAGAGAATAAAGCTTTCTACCCTGAGGAAATCTCTTCGATGGTACTGACTAAGATGAAGGAGACTGCTGAAGCTTTTTTGGGCCACACTGTCACCAATGCTGTGATTACTGTGCCAGCTTATTTCAATGACTCTCAACGCCAGGCCACCAAGGATGCAGGTGTGATTGCAGGACTCAATGTGCTAAGAATAATCAATGAACCCACAGCTGCTGCCATTGCCTATGGTTTAGATAAAGGTGGCCAGGGAGAGCGACATGTTCTGATCTTTGATCTGGGTGGAGGCACATTTGATGTTTCTATCCTGACCATAGATGATGGGATTTTTGAGGTAAAGGCAACGGCCGGGGACACGCACCTGGGCGGGGAGGATTTTGACAATCGGCTGGTGAGCCACTTCGTAGAGGAGTTCAAGAGGAAACACAAGAAGGACATCAGCCAGAACAAGCGAGCCGTGAGGCGGCTGCGCACTGCCTGCGAGAGGGCCAAGAGGACCCTGTCATCCAGCACCCAGGCCAATCTGGAAATTGATTCACTTTATGAAGGCATTGACTTCTACACATCCATCACCAGAGCCCGGTTTGAAGAGTTGTGTGCAGACCTGTTTAGGGGCACCCTGGAGCCTGTGGAAAAAGCTCTTCGGGATGCCAAGATGGATAAGGCTAAAATTCATGACATTGTTTTAGTAGGGGGCTCTACCCGCATCCCTAAGGTACAGAAGCTCCTTCAGGACTACTTCAACGGACGTGATCTCAACAAGAGCATTAACCCTGATGAGGCAGTGGCCTATGGGGCTGCAGTACAGGCAGCCATTTTGATGGGTGACAAGTCTGAAAAGGTACAGGACCTGCTTTTATTGGATGTGGCTCCCCTGTCCCTAGGGTTGGAGACGGCTGGGGGCGTGATGACTGTCCTGATCAAGCGCAATTCCACCATCCCCACCAAGCAGATGCAGATCTTCACCACCTACTCAGATAACCAGCCTGGGGTACTGATCCAGGTGTATGAAGGCGAGAGAGCCATGACGCGGGACAACAACCTGCTGGGACGCTTTGACCTGAGTGGAATCCCTCCTGCACCTAGGGGAGTTCCTCAGATCGAGGTGACCTTTGACATTGATGCCAACGGTATTCTCAATGTCACAGCCATGGACAAGAGCACGGGCAAAGCCAACAAGATCACCATCACCAATGACAAGGGCCGCCTGAGCAAGGAAGAGATTGAGCGCATGGTTCTGGATGCCGAGAAATACAAAGCTGAAGATGAGGTCCAGAGGGAGAAAATCGCTGCAAAAAATGCGTTAGAATCCTATGCTTTCAATATGAAAAGTGCTGTGAGTGATGAAGGTTTGAAGGGCAAGATTAGTGAGTCTGATAAAAAGAAAATACTGGATAACTGCAGTGAGGCCCTTTCATGGCTAGAGGCTAATCAACTGGCTGAGAAAGTTGAGTTTGATCATAAGAGAAAGGAATTGGAACAGGTGTGTAACCCCATCATCACAAAACTCTACCAGGGAGGATGCACTGGGCCAGCCTGTTCAACAGGGTTTACAGCTGGAAGGCCTGCCACAGGCCCCACCATTGAAGAAGTAGATTAATCTTTTCTGGGACTGGAAGGTTCTAGGGTTGCCTTCAGGTGAATTTTGTTTCCCTCATTTTCAAACATCATTATGATTCTTGAGTTGACTGGACCTGAACCTAAGTTACCATCCCTTTGGGATTCTGATGGAGGAATCTCATGCACCATCTTTTCACACTATTAACATCCTGTCTTTGACTCTGGAATGGACTTTTAGGAAAACTAGGCCCCTCTTTGAACCGTTTGATGAATTTGAATGTTCGTTATTTATTTCCAGCCACCCCAACTTTCTTCTTCCTGTGTGAATGGTTATTTCTCTTTCAGTAAATTTTTTCTTAAAGGAAATTACTTCTGGTATCTTTAGGCTGTGAGTGTACTTTGAAAAGTAAGGAAAAGGAGAGTTCATGGAGAGAACACTTGTTCTCTGATTGTGAGCTCATTGTGAATGATTAATCAGGTAAGAACAAAGTATTTTAATTTTTATGAGCTCATTGTTTCAAATAGGAAAATAATTTTTGGTCTTCAGGCACTTCAAGCCCCGATGGAGCTGGTTTAGGAGTTTAGGATTCAGCTGGGGTGGTAAATCCTGCTTGATGTCCTGATGTCACTTAAAAATGGGGTCCAGGAGATTCAGTGTCTGTGCACTCACAAAGTCCTTTATTACATTCTTTACATGCAGAAAATATTTCTACAACAAACTCCTGACAAATGGATACTTTTATGAAAGATGAGAAATATAGCATTTGTCTTAAGTCCATGAAAACATGTTTTACCTATTATGTTATAATATCGCATATTTATAAAAACCTGGGAGACATGAATATAGGAGCATCTGTAACTGTGCTTTTTGTCCCTTTGGGTTTGAGGGGAGCAAGCTTTGGAAGTGAACTATTAAAATGGGGTATATACAGTTCTTTACAGGAGAGTCCTAGGCAAAAGTGTGTAAATGTGGAGCTGAGACTGGGTCTTTAGGAGAAAATGTTTTCATCGGGAACCTTTCATAAAATCAAGGTTTGTGCTCAGGCTCCCTCTGATCTCTGGAACTCTTTGTCTTTACTTATTGAAGTGTAAATATATAGAACAGTGCACATATCTTAATGAATTTCCACCAACTCCCCAACAATCTTCCGTAGGAAGTGTATGTAGGGTGTGAACAAATCACTCCGTGGACAGCACTTTCGTAGGAAACAACAAAAACTTTCGAGTAGGGGTGGCGGGGATTCACGAAGGCCCTGACCGCCCGCGCCTGCGCGGTAGGAGCCGGCCGCCCAGGAGGAAGTCGGCAGGCAGGAAGGCCCGCCCCTTTCGCGGCAGCTTCATCCCCCTCGGTTCCACCACGCCCGCTTTCCCCGAGCCGCGAGGCTGCCGCGCTCTCCCCTTCAGTACTTGGAGCTTCCCGAGGCACTTCCCGCTGCGCCTGCGCGACCCCGCCCTGCCCCACGCCCGGGCTCGCGCTCCGGTTCCCGCCCGGCCTCCGGTCCGCGGCACCTGGCCCTCTCCTTCTCCGGCCCGCAGCTCGCTGCGCCAGCACTATGGTGGGTACCGTGACGTCACAAGGGGGCGCCCTCGGGGAGCGCGGGCGCTTCGGACGGTTGGGGGCGGGGTGGGAGTTCGGCCTTTGCCCCTTCGGGCTGGCATTAGGCCCGAGGTTTTCCCCTCCATCCTTAGTTTTGCGTCTCAAGTTCTGTGAGGAGTCGCCTCGGAGTAAAGGGGCTTTGTTTTCCCGTACGAGGAAAAAAACCTCAATAACTCCTTGAGAGGCACGGCGGGGAAAGCAGGAGACGGAAAAGCTAGACTTCAAGGGGCATTTCTCTCCCAGAGACCAGGCTTTGGTAGGGTGCGGGTGGGATGTTTTCTGCAGTTCACTGGAAGGAGTGGGTAGGGACCCAAGAAGGGTGGTCTGTTGAGAGGGCGGGCCGTGAAGGCCAAGGGGTGCAGGGCAGAGTCTCTGGGGCTTTAAGTGAAGAATTCAGTGAAGTGTGCAGAATCATTTGGACTGTAGCCTTTTCATCCCTGTCAACCGAGAATTCATTGCTATGAAGTTTTGAGAACTGCCAGAGATGGCGGTAGGGATCCCAGTACCAGTTAATTTGGTACGTCCATATTATATAGCTGTAACATAGGAATGAGAGGTACTGATACGGAAAGGTGTTGCAGGATAGCGTATGTGGCATCATTCGCCTTTTGTTAAAATGTAAAGGGTGAACAAAAGACTAATGCAGTACCAGTATTTGATAATACTGACGGGGGACACTCCTCCCTACCATGTCCCTCCCCATGTGATGGTATTCCCGCTCTTGCCCAATAGCTCTTCTACTCCTTTTTCAAGTCCCTTGTGGGCAAGGACGTGGTGGTGGAGCTCAAGAATGACCTGAGGTAAGTACCTATTCTAACAAGTCTGTAGGGGGTGGGTGTGCACAGAGCCCTGGAACCTCTTTAATTAGACAAGTAGTTGAGGTCTAGGTAAGGTGGGAAAGATACGGAAGTCAATGGTTTGTACCTTAAACTTATAGATTAACTCGGGAGTTGTATCATGTATTGGAAAACAGTACAAAGCAAGAGTAAGTACTAGAGAGGTCAGAGGATGGGGAGGCATCAATAACATTTTTTCACAAAACCAAGATAGTTTTTTTATAGTTAAATTATATACTGCTTTGGGGCTGGCCCGTGGCTCACTTGGGAGAGTGCGGTGCTGATAACACCAAGGCCAAGGGTTCAGATCCCTATATAGGGATGGCCGCTTAGCTCACTTGCTGAGAACACCAAGTCAAGGGTTAAGATCCCATTACCAGTCATCTTTAAAAAAAATAATAAATTATATACTGCTTTGGGGCTGGCCCGTGGCTCACTTGGGAGAGTGCGGTGCTGATAACACCAAGGCCAAGGGTTCAGATCCCTATATAGGGATGGCCGCTTAGCTCACTTGCTGAGAACACCAAGTCAAGGGTTAAGATCCCATTACCAGTCATCTTTAAAAAAATAAATAAATTATATACTGCTTTGATCCAACTTCTAGAAACTTGAGAGTCCATTACATAAGTAAAGATATGTGTACAAAGATGTTTATAGCTTTATTAGTTATAGCCAAAAATTGGAAACAACTTTACTATCTATCTACCAACTTAAATCTTCATCCATTATTAACCCATCAAAAGGTAATAGGTTAATTCAGTTGAGGTACTTCATATTATATAGCTGTCACAGGAATGAGATGTACTGATACAGAAAGCTGTTGTAGAATAGTATATGTGGCATAGTCCCCCTTTTGTTGAAGAAAATCTAAAAGACTAATGCAGTCCTTTCTGTCTGAACTGCTTTTACATCCCGTACCCACTTGTATCATGGGCCCCTAATCATCTTTCAGGACTTGGATTATAGCTGTTTCCTTGGAGAGACTTTTCCTGGTACTTCTAGCCAAGTTGACCCCTCTGTCATAGAGTCTATTTTCTTCCTAGTGGCTGCTTTTCAAATTGTGATTTCATAGAAATATGTTTTCTGTTTATGGCCTGTTTTTCCTACGAGGCCAGAACCACATTTAAGCTTACCACTGTGTATTTAATGCCTAGTATAGACCAAGTATATAGTAGGTGCTTAAAGAAAAAAAATAACTAACATTTGAAAACCTCCTATTAACTAGGCACTATTCTGAATACTTTACATTTATTAATTCATTTAATTCTCACAACACCCCTACATGATATTTACTTTTTGTTTTCTTGGTGGCTGCCCAGTAAGGGGATCTGAACCCCTGCCCTTGGTGTTATTAGTACCAAGCTCTAACCAAGTGGGCCAACTGGACATCCCTATGATACATACTATTGTTGCAGTTTTACATATGCGGAAACTGAATCTTAGGCTGAGAAACTTGTAAAATTCTATGAAACTAGTAAATGATACAGCAGAACTGAAATTCAAATCTGTCTGGCTTTTTTTTTTTATTTGAAAAACAGGATCATATTCTCTATGCAGTTGTGAAACTTGCAGTATGTTGTGGATATTTTTTTGTGTTAATAAAGTTGATCTTTAGTATTTTTAATGTCTGAAGGGCATTTTTATTAGAGAGGGCAATTTTATTATATATATTAATATAATTTATATTAAATTATATAATTTAACCAAACCTTTGCTATTGGTTACTTACGCTGTTTCCAGTTCTTTGTTTTTACAAAAACTACCCTGTACATTTGATTGCATACATCTTTGTACACATCTGATTATTTCTTTAGCAAAAGTCCTTTAAATAAAATGTCTCCTTGCTTACATCTTTGTACATATCTGATTATTACTTTAGAAAAAAATCCTAAATGAAACGTACATTTACAGTATTGACACCTATTACCTGATCGTCCTTTAGGAAGATTGGATCAATGTATTCCCTCCCAAAATGTCTTCCACATTTCTATGTGAGTCAATTTCTTGGTGGGAGAAACATTGACATGGCAGGGAATGGTGAGGAGAGAACTTGAAGGCCTTTGTTTTTTAGAACAGAGGTTGCCATTTATGGTTCTGGCAATGCAGATGGTATTGATGGTGTTTAGGTTGGGGCCATAGGGCAAGACAAACGTGAAAATCAAAACCAGCCTTAGGCTCTTCTGTGAGATGACTTTCGTGTGTGTGTGTGTGTGTGTGTGTGTGTGTGTGTGTGTGTGTCTGTGTGTGTGTGTGTGTGTGTCTGTGTCTGTGTGTCTGTGTCTCTCTTCCACATGTCAAGCCTAATTGTTGTTTTATAACCCCGGGCCCTACATAAAGCAAAGGACATATCCATTGGGTTGAGAGAAAAGCTCTTTCTCTCATGTTATTGTCAGACCACTTTTATGCCATATGTCTTCTCTTTAAGGAACTGAATGAAATGACACTGCTTACAATTTCTGAAAGTTATTTCACTGCTGCAGATGGTGGGGTGCTGTCAAAGGCTTTACAGCAGCTAGGGATATGAGAACACCACTGAGGAAGTAGTTTTCAGACATTGAATTTCAAAGACGTAAAATTTTTTTTAAATGGGGGTCCAACAGAGAACTTATTTTTGGCAAGATAAAAATAGTTTTAGAACTGCCATTTATTATGACCATTTTATTTTTAAAGTTTTTTTTAATATCAAAAAAATAGGAAGGACAGTTAAGGATCAATTATTCCTAGGAAAAAACTATTGGCAACCTTTAGGACACCATTACTCACTCACACTTTATTATTGTATTAGTCCATTTTGTTGCTTATAACAAAATACACAGAACTGGGTAATTATAAAGAAAATGAAATTTATTGCTTACAGTTTCTGAGGCTAGGAAGTCCAAAGTCCATCTGTTGGTGGCGACAGTGACCCAGGGGTCTCACATTGCAAGATGGTGGAAGCAGAGAGAGAAAGACGGACTCTCCTCTTCTTTTAAAGCCCTCAGAACCATGCCCGACCACCATTTTTAATCCATTCACTACTGCACGGTCCTATAATCCAATCACCTCTTCAAGGCTCCACCTTCAATTAGCATAATAGGATTTCCCACCCTCTTAACAGTCACAGTGGGGTCTAAGTTTCTAATACATAAAACTTGGGAGACAATTCAAGCCTCAGTGAGTTTTCAGGGGGACAAAATTCAATACACTACAATTATCCTGTGTTTCATCTTTTGTTGTGGACTCATGAAACCTTTTGGGTACACATCAGTGTTTGAGAATGATGGTTCTAAGGAATTTAGAATCTGGTGATGACAGGCAGAATATTTAGGATCAATGTGGCCACATGGAAGGCTGGACTGGATTGAGGTGCAAAGTAGTAAGACCTTGGTTTGCAGAAGTCAAACTAGAAAATGAATTACAGAAATGTTTGAAGTCAGCTGATGATGGGGATTCATGGGGCATGGAGGGTAAAGAAGTACAACTCATAGCATTTGAGGTTGTGAGACTTAAAAGTGTTGAAGCCAGGGGCCGGCCCGTGGCTCACTCGGGAGAGTGTGGTGCTGATAACACCAAGGCCACAGGTTCGGATCCCATATAGGGATGGCCGGTTAGCTCACTGGGGGAGCGTCGTGCTGACAACACCAAGTCAAGGGTTAAGATCCCCTTACCGGTCATCTTTAAAAAAAAAAAAAAAAAAAAGTGTTGAAGCCATTGACAGAAATAAAAGAAGTTGGGAGGGAGGTGGCATGGCTTGGAACACTGGTGCTTTGATAGCATTCCTCATTAACATATCAGGAGGCTGGAGGATTGGGGAAGGGAGAAGACATCGCTAATGCCTGCATCATCAAGAGCAGTGCTGGCTACCTTTATGTGTGCAACTCTGGTTCAAAAACAATAAATGTTTGAAAATAGCTGATAGTTCTAGGGGTCAGACAGACCTGGACTACAGTAACTGTTTATTTGTTCTAAACTCTGGCATGTTACACAACCTCTCTGAGCTCCTGGATGGTAATAGCTAGCTTGTAAGATGGTTGTAAAGATTACAAATACTAGGGGCCGGCCCGTGGCTCACTCGGGAGAGTGCGGTGCTGATAACACCAAGGCCACGG